AGACTGCTAGAGCTGTTCGGGTGAATCATGGTCATTGGTGGCTGCATATAGAAGCTGAGCCCCATTGCGTGCCCTGTTCTCAGGGGTAGAGGGTGAGATTGAGGGGTGAAGAATGCTGGGGGCTTCTGATGGAAGGGAAAAAGAAGGAAAACATCCACTTATTGAGCTCTCACTGTATGCCATGCCCTCAGTGTGCATCATCTCATTGGAGCCTGCAAGAACCCCCTAAGCTGGGTGAGCACTGTTACGCTCGTTTTATGGGAAACTGAGGTACTTGCCTGTGGTCCCCCCACCCAAGAGCACCAGCCCCTGTATCCCGAGCTTGGAGCCTTCTTCTGGGTGCCTTTTGTTTAGGGTTACTGAGATGGATTAATGTTAAGTGTCAATTTGACTGGGCCAAGGGTTGCCCAGACACCCAGTAAAACAATGCCGGGTGTGTCTGGAAGGGATTAGCGTTCGATTGGATCTGACTGCGCCAGAGGACTTCACCCAGTCTCCCGGAGGCCCAAATGGAACAGAAAGGGGAAGGAGATGACTCCTCTCTTCTTTGGCGGAGACGTCCCATCTTTCCCTGGTTCTCAGGGCTCCAAACTCCAGGACTCACACCAGCTGCCCCTTTGCTCTCAGGCATTTGGCCTCAGACCTGGGGCCGCACCATGGGCTCCTCTGGTTCTCAGGCTTCCTGACTGGGACTGAGTTATACCATCGGCTTCTCTGGGTCTCCAGCTTGCAGATGGAGATTATGGGATTTAATGTGAGCCAATTCCTGTAATAAGTCTACGTACACCTATGTATAGCCTATTGGTTAGTCCGGAGAGCCCTGCCCTATCCGGTGACATAGCACAGGCCAGAGGCTCACTCATTTGCCCAGTTCTTCTGTTACCCACCCTGATACGCTGATTTCAAGTCAGGAGATTCTAGTCTTCCTTGATAGGGAGGGATGGGAGGTGTGATGGGAATAGTCAATCTCCCATTAATGTGGCCTAGTCCTCCCGAAAAGGTTACACTTCAGTGGGCCCTTGGCCACTTAGGATGTCCCAGTTGTATTAACCCACTGAGCAGCCACAAGGAGGGAAGAGATGCCCCAGGCGGAAAGAAAGACCTGGAGGAATGATAGAATGGTGCCGAGCCCTGCAGCCCAATCTCATCCCAGCAGTGAATTTCTGATCCTGTCAATTCATCAGTAAGAGGAGAGTCCTGGGGAGTAAACTGGGAGACAGGCTAATACACCACGGAGGACCAGACGGTTGCCTTGAAATTGTCTTTATTTCTGACCATCCCTTTACAACCATCCAGCCCAGGATAATCCCCACACCTGCACCTCAAGCTCAAGTCCCCCTCCGGCAATTAAGATCCATGTTTCTGGCTCTATAGGACACTTGCCTCTCGACAAGTTCCCATCAAGTCCCCAACATTGGCCGCTGCAATCCTGCACCCGGGCGGGGTCTTCCCTTCCCCATTCACACTGAGCACCTGTCTGGGACGTGGGTGTGTCCCCTGGACAATGCACCTCGGTCCTAGGTTTCAGCTCCCAAGCGCCCAGAAGGAAGCTTTTGCTGGGTGCACCCACTAAGCAGAGTTTCCACAGGGGTACGCCACGGGCCCCACGTCCTTGTTGCCACAGTGTGGACAGGGGCTGGTGCTGAGCCAGATGATCCTGGGCTGTCCTAAGTCCCTCAGAATCTCCATCAGCTCACGCCGGACCCGGGCCAGTCTCCCCAGCTCCAGGGCCCCCTCGGCGCTGTAACTCTCCAGGGGGGCGGGATACTGCTCCAGGCTTAGACTGGGCAGCCCGGCTGTGTGGCGCAGCAGCTTCTCCAGGGTGGCCACAGAGAAGAGGTTCCCGGAGATGTTGAAGGTCCTGAGCTGGTGGCAGCGGCTCAGGACAGGCACTATGGCCTCGACTTGAGAGTCCTCGATCCCACAGGAAACTAAGTGCAGGCCCTGGAGGGTGGCGGCAGCTTTCTGCAGCAGAGCTCGGAGGGGCCTGGGTCTAAAACCGACGAGACCGACGCCGCTCAGATGCAGGTCCTTCAGCTGATGGAGTTTCGGGCACCGGAACAGGTGTGCCAAGTCTGATTTCGTAAGCCAGCAATTCGTTAAGGAGAGGGTCTCCAAGGGGGTCTGCAGGCACCTGGGGGGAGACGGAGCCGTTAGTTCTGGGGAATGGGGATGGCAGGTAGAGGGGGGCCTCCGGATGGGAGAAGAGAGATTCGTCCCAGCCCAGGGTTGTTCCGGCCATCAGATGAAGGCCAACAGCCAGGACGCCCAATCTCACTTTAGGCCTAGTTTCCTTTCACCGTCACCGTGTGACTGGGTCAAGTTCACAAAATCTCCAAAGCTTCCTTTCCTCGCCCGTGAAGCAGAGAACTCCTCTTACGAGGATGGACGTAATGGGAAACGCGGGAACTGCTCGGAGAGCCTGGCACTGTGGGCATCCCTGCATTTTAATATCTGGAGACAAAACCAAAAATGACCTCAACTCAGGCTTCCTTCTGTCCATTGCTTGGGACCCGCCCCAGGTGCTCGGATGTCTGGGCCACATGAGGCTAGTCTGATGTATAAAGACCAGACCTGGGCAGGATCCTGCAACTCAACTGGGGTGGCCAGTCTGCAGCGGCCACTTACACCCCAGCATCACCCGTAAACCTCCCCACTTTTTGTAATCCTCCTGCTCCCTTATCTCCAGAACCAGGCATTTCCCACGTGCTCGTGACCTCCCCTGGACACAGGACAGCCTCTCAGAGACCGGCCGTCTCAGACAGGCTCATCCCTGCTCACACGGCTGGTGGACACAGGGCTCACCTCTGGAAATGCTCAGGCTGATGTGGCCTTTCCTTCCTCCCCTCTTCCCAAGTCACCTTCACTCAGACACCTCTCCCTGAGGAAGACCCTACAAACCCACCCTCGCTGGGTCCGAGCCCCCACTGGAGAGCTCCCCTTCCCAGAGCCACCCTCCCAGTCTGTCCCCCCCCCTCCCTTTGGGCGGTCACGGGATGCCACACCTCCGAGCGGCAAACGAGACAACGCACTTGGCATTCCGAGGCGGCGTTCAGTGCCAGGGCTCACCTGAGCATAAGGCGCAGGCGGCCTAGGAGGAAGTAGGGGGATTCCAGGGCGAGCCTCCGGAGGCGCCGCAGCCGGGGGAGCTGGGAGATGAACCGCAGAAAGTGCGCCTGGTCCTTGCCCCCGTCGGCCGGCATGTGGATGTGGGAGAGAGAGAGCCTCTGCACGTTCCTCATCCGACCCAGGTAAAGAGCGAAGGAGCCCAGGGTGGGCAGGTCCCAGGTGCACTTCACTTCCACCTCCTGGACGCAGTCCAGCCGCGTCAGAGCCAGGACCCCTCGAATGTTCTCGATGGGCACCTCGAAGACCGTCAGCCTCTTGCAGCACAGGAGCAGCAGCCCCCCGCGCTCCATGACCCGCCAGATGGTGTGGCTGGACAGGCAGTCCCGGGTCCTGTCGCTTGGGAATACCTCCAGGGGGCCGAGGGCCGCTTCGCCCTGGAGCTGCCCGCAGCCACCGGCCCCGACGGCGAGCTCCCCGGGGCGCTGGCTCCAGACCACATCCCCCAGAAGTTCTGGCCAGTGTTCCGTAGATCCAGCACCTGAAGCTTCCACCTCCTGCGGGGAGAACAGGGCGCTGGCTGAGATGCTTAAAGAGCCACAGAATGAGACCGAGCATCTCAGGGCTAAGGCAGCGATCAGACTCCACCCCACTCCTCAGCCTTTTTTTTTTTAAATCCTCACCTGAGGATATTTTTCCCATTGCTTTTCAGAGAGAGTGGAAGGGGGAGAGAAACATCGATGTGAGAGAGACGCAGCGATTGGTGCGCCCCTATCTCGTAAGCAGTCCCCTGCTTCCCAAAGTGAGCTCACCCGCGTCCAAGGCCTCTCTGAGCCGCCCCATCAGAAACCTCTGGTCAACCCTTTGGTCCCCGACACTCCCTGACCCCAGCCGTCTCCTGGCACACGCGGGACCCTACCAGGCCACCTGGATCAGCCTCACCTGGGGCGAACCTTCTGGGCAAGCAGGACTTTGAGCCCGTCGAATGCGGCTTCTAGGGCCCAGAACTGGGACAGCTGCATCAGGCCCCCCAGAGGGAGGCGGGCGAAGGGCCAGCCGCACACCATGGCCTTCAGGGGCTCTTGGTGTCTCCCAAAGAAGGCCTCGAGGAACAGCAGCGGGAAGAGCTCTGCGGGCAGGTACTCCAGAGCCGTGATGGCCGAGGCTTCGTCCCTCAGCAGGCTCTTGCCCGCCAGGTCCAGGAGTCTGGGTGGGTTCCGGACGCCCATGGTCAGTCCGCTGCGAGAGGAATCCTGCGGAAACGTCCAGGGAACAGGGCATCCCTGTCAGGCCGAGTGCCAGCACGCCCACCGCTGCCTCGGCCGAGGTGGGTAACTTACCTGCTCCGCCTCTGGCCCCGTCGGCCGGCTGCTCGGACCTCAGACCTGGTGGGGCACCAGGCAGTGGCTGTGGGGCTCGAGGACCCTGTGTCTCTTCTTTGGTGCTTGAGGCTTTTATAGCCCTTTCCCCTCCTAACATCCAATCAGAAAGCAATACCTGATTGGATTCCTCAATCTCCATCCCTTAATCCTGATGGGATCTTCCCCTATCTGCAGATTAACTGACTCAGTCAGGCCAGACAATCCATTTAGGAAAGAGAAAGTTAGGGAGGGGCCAAGTTAAGGACCTCATGGCACCCCTTCACTTCAGCACCCCCCATGACCCACCGGCCCCCGAGGGCCCTAGTCCTGTAAGCCTGTCCCCCACCCGATATCTCTGTTCTGCATCCGTCTAACATCCCTGTCGCCTGCCGGACGGAAGGCTCTGAGGCCAGGGCTCTGTCATGGCTCCTTGGACGCCTGTGGGCTGAGAGGATGGGTGGCTGTTGGTGGTGTGAGGGAGGCCAGCTGCAGGCCAGCCCACTGCTGCCACTTGGAGCTCTTGCCCCTGGCACAGCATCCTCTGTGCCCCATCCCTTCTCCTGTCAGTCACTGATCCCACAGACATTACTGAGCACCCCGTGTGTGTGCCAGGCTCAGACTCCGTGGCACTTTGAGTCCCATAGGGAAGACTGTGTCACTGAGCAGACTCTCGGAGAAACGCGTGAAGGCGCCCGAGTGAGTGCTGACGCCCGGGGCCAGCAGGCGTCCTGGAAAGGGACAGCGCAAACCCAGGCTTCCTCCACCTGGAATCGTGTTATTTGTCTACAGTACAAAATCGCACCAACCACACACACGCGTGTCCGCGAGCCAGGCGCACCGCAGACACATACGTGCCCAGCGGGTCCCGAGGGCTTCTCCTGGCATTTCTTGGAAGAGGTAGTTTTGCACAAGGGCCGAGCAGACTGCCTGGGTTCAAATCCCAGCTCTGGGACTCATTCCCTGTGCGACCCCAGGCCAGTCAATCTCCAGGGCCTGCTCCCTCATCTATAAAGCAGAAGTGACATTTAGAACCCCTGCCTTGGGGCACTTATTGTAGATGGTGTGGTGACAGTCAACTAGATCATCCCATGGAGGCCCAGGTCCTGGCTCTTAGTTCCCCACAATACATATTAACTCAATTTTTCCCCTGCTTTTTTTTTTTCCTTTTCTTGATTATTTGCTAGACTATGGTAGTAACTGACCAAAAAAAAAAGTAAGAAAAAAATTCATAGAATAGTTCTGTTCATTCACTTTTCTGTTGTTTGTTGTGTGCTTGTTTCAGTGGCAGAACGTGAGAGGGGCTGGCAGAGCCGTAGAGTTGCATTGGTAGCAGGGGCGTGGGTGGACGGCCGGGTTTAAAGGATGGAGCAGCAGGCAGCTGATCTCCTCTCTGAGGCTGGCAGGGGACCTGGGGGGACTCACTGCCCTCCGAGTTAGGAGTGGATGAAGCCGAGGCCTTTAGGCATCAGAATGGATGCAGAGGCCCACCTTGGGGCAGGGGTTTTAGGAAGATGAATGAAAGAAAAGGGGAGTCTCTCTAATAAATCTAACTGCGCCCTGGCTGGTGTGGCTCAGTTGGTTGAGGGTCATCCCATTGCACTGGGAGGTCGGAGGTTCCATTCCTGGTCAGGGCATATGCCCAGGTTGAGGGCTCAATCCCCAGTAGGGGGTATGCAGGAGGCAGCCAGCCAATGTTTCTCTCTCTCTCCCTTTCTCTAGCTCTCAAAATCAATAAACATTTAAAAAATTAAAAAATAGCCCTAGCCGGATTGGCTTAGTTGCTACAATGTTGGCCGGAGGACTGAAGGGTCCCGGGTTCGATTCTGGCCAAGGGCATGTACCCCAGCCCCAGTTGGGGTGCTTGCGGGAGGCAACCAATCAATGTGTCCCTCTCACATCAGTGTTTCTCTCTCTCTCCCTCCTCCCTCCCTTCCACTCTCTCTGAAAAGCAATGGAAAAAGTATCCTCGGGTAAGGATTAAAAAATAATGACAAAAATATTAAATAAATCTAACTGAAAGTAACCTCACGGGGTGATCTGACCATAAATTCCTGGGCAGGTCGCGGTGGGTAGTCCCAGCCCAGGCCTCTGAAAGGCTCATCTCCACCTTAAGCCCTGCCCATTGTTTTTGTGCACGTAGGTGAACACACCTTTGAAATGCCCCTTTTTCAGGTGCCTCACAATCGTGTCCACCCTCAGGAATGCACATGGTCTTGTTAACTATCCTTCATCCAGTCACAGAGATTTCCCCGCCTGGCTCTCTCCCACCTCCGTGTAATCTTCCTTACATTCCCTCCTTAGTTCCAAATGTTTATTTTATTTATTTATTTTTTTAAATATATCTTTATTGATTTCAGAGAGAGGAAAGGAGAGGGAGAGAGAGAGAGAAACATCAATGATGAGAGAGTCATTGATTGAGCCCACAACCCGGGCATGTGCCCTGACCGGGAATCGAACCCCGATCGCCTGGATCCTAGGTCGACGCTCAACCGCTGAGCCACGCCCGGCCGGGCATTAGTTCCAAATGTTTAAAAGAAACCGCAAACTCTCACTCTGGGAAGCATTTTTCTCAGTCTATTGAGATCTTGCTTCCAGGCGTGACCTCTGTTTGGCTCAAATATACTCTAATATAAACTATACAAATTTTCTAGCCCAGCTGGGGTGGCTCAGCGGTTGAGCATCAATCTATGACCCAGGAGATCGAGGTTCAACTCCCGGTCAGGACGCAGGCCCGGGTTTCAGACCCGATCCCCAGCAAGGGGGTGTGCAGGAGGCCGCCGATCAACGACTCTCATTGGNTCTCTAATAAATCTAACTGCGCCCTGGCTGGTGTGGCTCAGTTGGTTGAGGGTCATCCCATTGCACTGGGAGGTCGGAGGTTCCATTCCTGGTCAGGGCATATGCCCAGGTTGAGGGCTCAATCCCCAGTAGGGGGTATGCAGGAGGCAGCCAGCCAATGTTTCTCTCTCTCTCCCTTTCTCTAGCTCTCAAAATCAATAAACATTTAAAAAATTAAAAAATAGCCCTAGCCGGATTGGCTTAGTTGCTACAATGTTGGCCGGAGGACTGAAGGGTCCCGGGTTCGATTCTGGCCAAGGGCATGTACCCCAGCCCCAGTTGGGGTGCTTGCGGGAGGCAACCAATCAATGTGTCCCTCTCACATCAGTGTTTCTCTCTCTCTCCCTCCTCCCTCCCTTCCACTCTCTCTGAAAAGCAATGGAAAAAGTATCCTCGGGTAAGGATTAAAAAATAATGACAAAAATATTAAATAAATCTAACTGAAAGTAACCTCACGGGGTGATCTGACCATAAATTCCTGGGCAGGTCGCGGTGGGTAGTCCCAGCCCAGGCCTCTGAAAGGCTCATCTCCACCTTAAGCCCTGCCCATTGTTTTTGTGCACGTAGGTGAACACACCTTTGAAATGCCCCTTTTTCAGGTGCCTCACAATCGTGTCCACCCTCAGGAATGCACATGGTCTTGTTAACTATCCTTCATCCAGTCACAGAGATTTCCCCGCCTGGCTCTCTCCCACCTCCGTGTAATCTTCCTTACATTCCCTCCTTAGTTCCAAATGTTTATTTTATTTATTTATTTTTTTAAATATATCTTTATTGATTTCAGAGAGAGGAAAGGAGAGGGAGAGAGAGAGAGAAACATCAATGATGAGAGAGTCATTGATTGAGCCCACAACCCGGGCATGTGCCCTGACCGGGAATCGAACCCCGATCGCCTGGATCCTAGGTCGACGCTCAACCGCTGAGCCACGCCCGGCCGGGCATTAGTTCCAAATGTTTAAAAGAAACCGCAAACTCTCACTCTGGGAAGCATTTTTCTCAGTCTATTGAGATCTTGCTTCCAGGCGTGACCTCTGTTTGGCTCAAATATACTCTAATATAAACTATACAAATTTTCTAGCCCAGCTGGGGTGGCTCAGCGGTTGAGCATCAATCTATGACCCAGGAGATCGAGGTTCAACTCCCGGTCAGGACGCAGGCCCGGGTTTCAGACCCGATCCCCAGCAAGGGGGTGTGCAGGAGGCCGCCGATCAACGACTCTCATTGGTGTTTCTATCTTTCTCTCCCTCTTCCTACCTCTCTCTGAAATCAATAAATATATATATATATTTTAAATATTTTCTACAGCTTTGTATGTTCCTTGGTTGACAGAAAGCAGCCAGATGGAGGCTCAAGCTGGAGAGTAAGGGCCTGCGTCATGAGTGGGGCAGAGTGTGGGTTCGTTGGGGAGCTCCCAACAGGCGACGGTTCATTCACCCGGCCACGGATTATTAAGCGCCAACTGTATACCAAGGCCTGTCTCCTTTGCAGTAGTGAATGCAAACAGTGGGGGTGGAGACATGAGGCAGAGAAAGGCCATTCACAGGAATGGTCAAATCCCAACAGTCAGAGGGGCCAGATCAGGACTCGCCCTTCTCAACCCGAGGGGGCCTCCCCATGGGCGGTAGGACATGCCTCGGGAGACTCCGCCCGGGGCCAGGACAGCCCCCAGCTCCTTTGCAGGGGATCCGCCCTCAGCGAGGGCTTGGAGGTGGCGGGGGGCGCTGCGGGCCGCCCCTTCCTGGGCCCCCCGGTTCAGGAAGCCTGGCTGAGGCAGCGACAGGCGCTGGACCCCTTCCCGGCTGCCCACCCCATAACCTCGTCTGACTGTTCTGTGGGGTTGTCGACATGCGTCTCAGAGTCAGATTCGTTTCTCCTGTTGGGCCAGACAGTCCCAGAAAGTATGTACCAAGTTGTGAGAACTTGAAGGAGCCACACTACTCTCCGGGCCTCAGTTTCCCCTCGTGTGAAATGAGGGAGTAGAATGTCAGGATCCTTCCAGTTCCTTCTAACGTTCTAGGTCGATCTTCTGCACATACGTGACACCCCACCGTTTCAAAGGGCTTTAATTGTGGGACGGGAAAGAAAGGAATCTGTGGGCGTGGAGCAGGGCCGGGAAACTACAACCCAGAGCCCGGCTCTGAGGGCCCTCGGCGGGCTGTGCCCGCAGCTGCCTGCTGCCTGGCAGGCGGATGGCACAGTGGGCCTCCGGGGGCTCTGCCTGCGCCGCCGGTGGGGTGGCGGCCCTCAGAAGCGTGGGGCCGGGCGCAGGCGCTGGGGCGGGACCGGGATGGCGTGCTCCCGCCGGGACAGAGCGCACAGCGGTGGCCTGGGGTAGGACAGAGTGTAGGTGCTCTCTCTCAGGCGGGCCTCGGGTGCGAGCCATCTCTGCTTCAGCTGCTCATAGAGCCCGTAGTTTGTAGGGGGCGCTGCAAGAGAAACGGGGTCTGGGTGAGCAGGGCTCGCCGACACCCCAGGAGCGGGTGGCTGTGGGATCAGGGGCCCAGCTGGCGGGGAACGGAGAGAAGGCAGGCCTGCGGGAGAGCGTGGGCTCCTCCAGCCCCCAGAGCCTCAGGCTGGGCCCGCCCCTGTGTTCTCAGGAGCAGCAGGAGCTCCTGGAGCGGCCTCGAGAGTCGCCCCCTGACCTGGCGGAGAGTGGTCCCGCCTGCTCTCGGGTAACTGTCCCCCCCCAGCAGGGAAGGGAGCAGTGGGGGCTTGTGAGATGAAGAAACCCCTGAAGAAGTAATGCAGAGTGACAAGCAGCTCCCTCTCGGGCCTCTGACCCTTTGGTTCCAAAGGTAGGACTGTGAAGAGATGGCTGCAAAGGATGGGGGCAGCTTGAAGGGTAAATCAGACCAAGGTTCTCTCCTGCGTAAATCCCACCGAGGTCCTGTACTGTAGGAAGGACAGAATCCGCACTTCTTACTGTGGCCTGCGAGCCCCTGTGGGGTGTGCCTCTACTCCTGTCTTACGGCTTTTTCACCAGCTCCTCCCACCCTGGAATGCTCTTCCCCTTAATCCCTGCATGGCTCCCTCCTTCTCAACTCAATGATCTCCGCAGGAAAGACCGTTCCTCATCATCGCACCCAGAGGAGATCCACGAAGACCCGCCTCACTTTCTATCCGTACATACTTCCTTTTCTTCCTAGCGTATGTCCCTGTCCAAAATTATCTTTCTTACTGGCTCTCAGGTTATCCTGTTCCTTAGTGGTGACTTATCTGTCTCCCGACTGAACTGTCAGCTCCCCGAGGGCAGGAGTTCCTCCCCGTTGGTCATTGCTAGGCCTCCAGAAGCTACAACAGGGCCCGGCACCTGCGACATGGAGCTATTTATGAAATGAATGACTGACCCGAGTGTGCAGTGACATTGCTCGGCCACCTGTGCTCCAGGTAAACCTCTCGGTGCATGGAGGGCGGGGGGGCTTCCTCACACAGCCAGCCTCATCCCGGCATCAAGGGGAGAGGGCAGGTGGCAGCCCTGGGGGGCAAATAGGACTCCCCTCCCATCATCTCATTCTAATGCTCCCCTGGAACCAGGGTCCCCCATGTGGGTCCTTCTGTGTGAGTGGGGCACACCTTGGTCCTGGGCAGGTGTGACCCCTTACAGCCCGATACCGGGGGAAATCCAGAATTAGGAAAATACCCAGAAGGGGGAGGTCGTCTTTCTCTGGAAGCCACAGCAACTTGTGTTTATTCCAGGAGCGGCGAGCGGGCAGGCCCGGGTTGTAATTATGCCGGTTGTAATGGTCGTCATACATGCTGATCAGGTGGCGGCTGGAGGGCTCCTGGTGGTGGGTGATCAGGTGCTTGTACGGGAGCCCCTGGAGGGACAGACAACCGGCGCGTTACTGATCCGAGCGGGGCGTCCCCGCCGTGGATGGAGGCAGAGGCCGCCTGCCCTGGAGGCCCGTGGAGCTGACGGCGGGGGCCTCCACGGGCCCGGCGAGCGTGGCTGTGTGAACTCTCGGGGCCGCCGGAGAGGAAACACACTTGTCTGTCCCACCCCGACGCAGCTCACCTTCAAACACACGTCTCAGCCCGGCCAGTGTCGCGCAGTAGTTGAGCGCCATCCCGTTCACCAAGAGGCCGCCGGTTTGAATCCCGGTCGGGGCGCAGGCCCGGGTTGCGAGCTCGATCCCCGGAGGGGGGCGGGCAGGGGGCAGCCGATCAATGACTCTCTCAGTGCTGTTTCTACCTCTCTCTCCCTCTCCCTTCCTCTCTCTCTAAGATCAATAAAAGCATAAAAAAATAAAAATAAAATAAAACACTACATCTGAGCTTGGCTGCAGTCAGTTCTCTGAAGGCATGGCCCCCAGCCTCTGCCAAGTCCATGAACTGTGGGGACACATTGACATGAAAATCGGGATACCGGGCTGAATTGGAAGCGCCAGTGCCACCTCGTTGCGTGCCCCCGTGATCTGAAGTCACGCCCTTTCATGTGTCTCAAGTCCCATCCATCGAGGCGCCGATTTCCATGGCAAGTGGCAGACGTTGAATACAGAGCCTGATGTAGGCACCTTGTATTTCAACCAGTTACTATGGGGAGAGTCGGCGGCGCTCCCTAAGGGGCTTTCTCCTGCAAAGGATTTACTGCAACCTCAGCCGGACACCCGGGGCGGGGTGTCTTCGGTGGGAGTTATTCACCGGGAGAAGACAGCCGCGCCCTCCTTGCTCTGGGGCGTTTACCTAAATCAGTGCTTTTCCTAAGAAAGTCCCCTTGGACCCCGACGGGGACCCTGGGGGACTGGCCTGATTTACAGGGGAGGATAATGCTGGTTTTCACGCCCGGCCTCTTGTCTGGAGCAGACAGGGAGGCCTGTGTCTGCTGTGGTCTGGAAATGCTGGCTGCCTCCAATATTTCAAGTAGTGGTTCCATAAATAAGTCAGATCACAATGCCAGAGGGAGACAGGGGGATGGGCGCAGGCTTTGAGCAGGGGTTCCCAAGATCTCCATCCCCAGGTGCCCAGAGTGTTTCCAGTGCCAGGGAAAGCAAGTTAAGGAGGTTCCCATCAACCAAGGGGGGTGCTGAGGAGGAGAGGAGAGAGGCCACGAGGGGTTTTCTTGCTCTTTCCCTTGGTTTGGGGCACGGCCCTGCTGTCTTGACTACGTTCCTGGGATTTTTGTTCTCATCAGGTATGGTCAGGGAACAGGCAGAGAGACAACGGCGTTAGAAAGAAGAGCGTACAGGTCCCAAAAGGAGGGGGCACGCCACACCACGCTGGGCCACCTGGGGAAGCACCAGGGCAGGCCAGGAGGCAGAAGAAGAGAAAAGAGAGGATGGCCCGGAGAATGGGCCAGGCAGAGCAGGCGACTCTGAGAAGTTTAGGGTTGCATGGTTCAAATCATTGCAGAGGGCTTGGGGCTACCTGGTGCCTCCGGTTGTGGGCACCTGGCGCCGGAGTGATTTAAGGCAGGTACCTGAGTGTTAGATAAAGGAGGAGATTGGGGACATGGCTCAGGATGGCTGGCTCGCATCTGAAAGGCACGATGTCGACCCGGCTGGCGTGGCTCAGCGGTTGAGCATCGACCTAGGGCCCAGGAGATCGCGGTTCGATTCCCGGTCAGGGCACATGCCCGGGTTGCAGGCTTGATCCCCAGTAGGGGACATGAAAGAGGCAGCCGATCAATGACTCTCTCGTCATTGATATTTCTCTCTCTCTCTCTCCCTCTCCTCTCCCTCTCTCTGGAATCAATAAAGACGTATTTAAGAAAAAAGAAGAGAAAGGCCTGATGAAAACCCCGCTGTTTATTATCTGGGAATTAGCTAACCCTGGGAGGGCAGTCTCTCCAGGATTAGCAAGGCCCCCGCCAAAGAAAAGCATCATAAAATAGGGGGGAAAAATGAAAAATGGGATTAATACAGTTGCCTGGGAGAAAAGCCCAGGTAGGGGGCCCTCCCTGGGGGATGTCAATCTCATCTATCCAAGGTCGGCTTGAAGAGCCTTCAGCATTTGCCCAAGAAGGAGCAGAGGAGCGGGGATGGGAGATGGAAAGGGAAGCTGTCCCGGGGGGTGCAGGACGAGGCACAGAGAGAGCGGATGGAGTGGAAGCGGCCACACCAACAGGCCACCAGAACGGCCTGTAGGAGCGAGTGTCCGATTACTCAGTTCTATTTTGTGTGTGTTGGGGGAGGGGGACTCGTCTTCATTTAAAAAACTCTCCGAGGCTGAGTGCCTCATGCACACTGGTGGATGGGGGCTGGAAGTCCCCGACGGTGGGTTCTAATTTTTGCTTTCTTGTGTTGAAAATGCATTTGTGTCTTCGGTGCACACTAATAGTAAAGTTGGCAGCCCGGAGCGTGGTCCGAGGATCCCAGCATGGCCCAGGGCTGCCAGCCCAGTCCAGAGATGCCAGCATGGTCCAGGGGTGCCAGCACAGAGCTGAAATTCTGGCGTTGTTCATCCTGACACAGGTCTCCAAACGCAGAAGACAACCCCGGCCAGTGGTGAAGGGGACTCTCGGGACACTCCTTGCTTAATTTTCAGAGCAGCCGCCTGCATAGTCCCTTACCAACCTGCTGCACCGCTTCAGACAAGACACTCACCACCTCTGGGCACCTTTTACGGGAAAATGAAGGTGCTGAGCCCAAAATCTCTTTCAACTCCAAAACGTTCCCATTCTAACCCCTGTCCACCCTCGTTCTGTGCCTCCTGCCCCCACCCTGCGTTCAGGCAGGGGCAGGGGCAGGTTCGGGTGGTGGGAAGGGGGTGTCCTGAGGTTGCAGCTCCCTGCTCCCTGCTTTGGGGCCTGGAACACGACATTCCACAGGCATCCAGTGGAAAGGGTGCTGAGTGGCCACTGACTTTTTATACTAAAGAGCAGGAAGCCGGAGCTGAGATGACACAAAACACTGTCCCCTGAACATCACGCACGGCTACCTCTTTTTGGGGAACCTGATGTGACTCCTCTCTATAGTCACCTTAGTTCAATATTAACCATGTTTGTTTGTTCCTTTCCTACATCTTTTGCCTGTGTCCCGTCGGAGAAGTGTGAGGAAATGGGGAAACCCATGCAGGGAAGTGCTGGGGTGGCGGGGTGCTCCCAGCTCCCGATTGGGCAGATCCCTGCTGTTCGGGTCACAAAGGTGAGGTCCCCCAGCAGCCCCGGGCCAGAGGAGGTACTGATGAGCCCACTCCTGTGTGCCCAAGAGGGCACTGGGCTGGTCGGGTCTTCTGGGCCTTGGGAAGGGGCCCAGCCTGAACATGGGGCGCCCACTCCCTCTTACCTCAACTCTCCTCTTCCCATACCACCTGGAGATCTGGTCTGGTCTGTGGCCAGGAAATGGGACGTACTCTTTCCTGTAAATGCACTGGGGTGTCTTCTCAGTGGCTTTGGTGAACTGGAAAAGACCAAATATTCAAGATAATGTCCGTGATATCCCTTCTCAAATTCCTGCTGTGACCCTCACCCCCTGGGCCATCGGAAGCTGGGCAGAGAAAGCGTAAATTAGGCCCCCAGGGCATCCCACATAAACGCAGGCTTCATTTTGCCCCCTCCCTTCCAGTATTTGAAAAGGAGTGTGTACCCCGCCACTCAGGACCCCTCGGGGAAGCTGATACTGGTGTCACCTGGCCACTTCTCCTTGCAGGTGCCATTCCCTCAGTCACCTCTCCCCCGCTCTGCCCTCTGCTTTCCTCCTAACCTTTCTCACCTTCATTCTCACTCTTTCCAACTCACTCTTCCCCCTCCCACCACCATTATATTATATTTTCTGGTTGATATTTTTAAAATTAATTGTGGTAAAATATACACAACAACATTTACCGTTTTAGCCATTTGTAATTGTACAGCTCAGAGACATTAAGCGCTTTCACACTGTTGGGCAGCCGTCACCACTGTGCATCCCCAGAACTGTTTCATCGTCTCAAACTGAAACTCTGTCCCCACTCAACAACTCCCCCTTCTCCCTCCGCCAGCCCCTGGCAGCCACCAATCTACTTTCCATCTCCACGGATTCGACTACTCAAGGCACCTCGTGTAAGCGGTTCCTCTTGCGACTGGCTTATTTCACTTAGCGTAGTGTCTTCACGGTTCATCTGAACGGGAGCATGTGTCAGAATTTTTTTCCCTTTTAAAGGCTGAGTAATATTCCATTGTACTTATGTATATGCCACATTTTGCTTCTCCATTTATCCGCCGCTGCATTACGTCTACCCTTTGGCTATCGCAAATAATGCTGCTGTGAACATGGGTGTACGAACATCTTTTCTCAAGATCCTGCTTCCAGTTTTGGGGGGCCCAGACCCAGAAGTGGAATTGCTGGGTCATAGGGTAATTCTATGTTTCATTTTTTGAGCAGGCAAATTTTTTTTAGTCTACCACAGTGGCTGTACCGTTTTACATTCCCACCAGCAGTGCCCAGTGTTCCAGTTTCTCCATGCCCTCACCAACACTTGGTGTTTTCAGTTTGTTTGTGTCTATAACAGCCATCCCAGTGGGTGTGAAGTGGTATCTCATATGGTTTCTGTTTGCATTCCCCTAATGATTAGTGATGTTGAGCATCTTTTCATGTGCTTAGGGGTCATCTGCCTGTCTTCTTTGAAGAAATGTCGGTTCAAATTCTTCACCAATTTTTAACCGGGTTGCTTTTTGTTGTTGAGTTGCAAGAGTTCTTTATGTACCCTCGCTGTTCCTTTATCACATAGGAGACTTGCAAATACTCCCTCCCATTCCATGAGTTGCCTTTTCACTTTGTTGATAGTGTTCCTTGATGCATAAAACTTTTTCATTTTGGTGAAGTGCAATTTATCTATTTTTTTTCTTTTGTTGCCTGTGTTTTTGGTGTCATATCCAAGAAATCGTTGCCAAATTCAGTGTTGTGAAGGCTTTTCTCCCATGTTTTCCTCTGAGAGTCTTATAGTTTTAGGTCTTCATGTGGGTCTTTCTTTTAAATTTAACTTGTAAATTAAATTTATTGAGGTGACAGTGGTTAATATGAACATATAGGTTTCAGGTGTGGGTTTCCATGTTACGAGATCTGTATATTGCTCTGTGTGCCCACCAAGCAGTGTCATATCTTCTCCCATCACCATGTATTAAGACCCCCCCACATAGGTGTTCGATACATTCTTAATTAATGTTTGTATAGGGTGCACTGTAAGGGTCCAAACTTATTCTTTTGTGTGTGGACATGGAGTTTTCCCAACCACCTTTGTTGAAAAGACAGTCCTTCCCCACTGAGTGGCCTTGGCGTCCTGGTTGAAGCCATCTGACCGGGTGTGGGAGGGTTTCTTCCTGGGCTCTCCACTCCACTCCATCGGTGCCTGCACCTGCCCTAATGCCAGCACCCCGCTGTCCTCATTACCGCAGCTCTGTGACACATTTTGAAATTAGAGATCGTGAGCCCTCCAGCTGTTTTCCTTTTCAAGGTGTATTCAGTTATTCAGAGTCTCTTGAGCTTCCCAGTGAATTTTAGGGCAGATTTTTAAATTTGTGCCCCGCCCCCCAAAAAAACATAGGGATTGCTTTGAACCTGTGGATAATTTGGGGTAGTGTTGGCATCTTAACAATATTGAGGCTTCCAGTCCACAAACGCAGGACGTCATATATCGCCGCCTTATATCCTTCAACAATGACTTGTTGTTTTTAGTGTATAAGTCTTTTGCCTTCCTCATTAAGTTGATTCCTAAGTGTTTTATTATTTTTGATGACAGTCTTCTTGATAAATAGACTTATTTCCTTTTTTAGATGGTTAGTGTATAGAAACGCAACTGATTTTTGTGTGTTGGTTTTGTACGCTGCTACTTTGCTGGATTTGTTTATTGGTCTTAACAGGTGTGAGTGTGAGTGTGTATGTGTGTGTGTGGTATTTAGGGTTTGGCACCTATAAGATCATGTCATGTAGAGATAATTTTACTTCTTTCTTTCCAATTCTATGACTTCCATTTCTCTTTCTTGCTCTGGCTAGAGCTGTTGGTCTTTTACCATTGGGTCTGAAGTTAGCTGTGGGCCTTTGACATACAGCCTTTATTACGTTAAGGTAGTTAAGTGCTAAGAAAAATTCACCAGTGAAGCCCTGCTGGGCTTTTACTTTTTGAGAGGTATTTCACTACGAATTTAATTTCCTTACTAGTTATAGGTCTATTTAGATTTTTCTTTTTTTTTTTTTCTTTTTTTTAATTTTTTTATAATTTGATGGCATCAATATTAAGGCAGATTATAGTCACCAACTTCAAGTCTAAGTTTCTAGTGCCAGTATTTCAGCAGGAACATACATAAGATTTCCTACTTCTTTACAACCTTTTCTTCAATATATGCTATTTCTCTTTGTTCCTTGGAACATTTTTTTACTTAGTGTCTATTTTTATGATATTAATATTGCCACGCCACCCTCTTTTGGTTACTATTTGCCTGGGATATCTTTTTCTACCCGTTCTCTTTCAACCTATGCATGTCCTTAAGACCTAAAGACAGTCCCATAGATGGGATATAGTTGGATCCTGTTTTGGACACGTTTCTTTCCCCATTCTGCCAATCTGTGTCTTTTGATTGAGAGTTTAATCTATTTAACGTGTAAAGTAATTACTGCTAAGCGAGGGCTTACTTTTCACATTTTACCTTTCTTCTGTATGCCTTACAGGGTGTTTTTGTCTCTCATTTTCTCCCTTGTGGCCCTTTCTTGCATTTAATTGATTTTTTTTTGTAGTGATACATTTTTATTTCCTCTCATTTCCTTTTGTGTATATTCCAGAGATATTTTTGTAGTTATATGGGTATTACATAAAACATTCCAAAGTTATAATAACATAATTTAAATTGATACTAACTTGACTTAACTCTTATATAAAAACCACTGCTTTGCAGCCCCTCCCTCTCCCATTGTATGCTATTGATGCCACATTCTGCGGATGCGACTGTCTGTGGCCCTTGACCTGAAAATAGTGATGGCTTCACCCCTGCCTCTCCCTGCCAGTCCTCCCGCTGAGCCCTCTCTCCTCCCTCCTTCTCTGTCCTTACCTTCCTCCTCTCTTCCACCCAGTTTCCAATGAGCACCCTGGTTGAGTAATTGCTCTCAATCTTCCAGCTTGGAGTATATAATGACTGTGGTTTTACTGCAGTCGAAAACTCCATGGTAAGGATTCACCCCAGGTTTCTTTGACTTGACACAGTTTAAGGTTTCCGGAGTGGGGAAGTTATGAAGTTGCCGAGATCGGGGTGCCTTTTTTTTTCTTCCCAGACACACTTCTCGGTGGGTAGTAGATGACGCCCTGCCGACTTCACAGGATAAAAGGGCCTAGAGAGTCCACTTTCAGCCTCCAGGCAGAGGTGGCCTGGTCTTGGATTCCGTACTGTTGACCGTCTCCATGGCGATAGTCCCTGAGTATAAATACTCTCCTCAAGGGAGCAGCTGATTTTTCTAGAGCAAAACTGACCCCATAAAAGCAAAGCAAATCAACAATGACCATCATAAAAGCAAGAGCCGGAAGGAAGGACCTGGTTCCTGTGTTGTCACCCCCTGAGGGGCATCATCCTGGCTGCATTTTTACAACTCGAGTGAGTTGGGATGATCACCTTCTATGGGCTGATGTGCTCAGCCCATGTGGAGGCAGTTACATGTATTCGCTCAGTTAATCCTTACAGCAGCCGTAGGAAAGCTGGTGCTATTTGTACCCATTTTATAGATGAAAACACTAAAGCAAAGAGGGACTAAGGAAGTAAGTCTCTTAGAAATTATTGAGGACCCAAAGGGCTTTTATTAATGGTAATATAGTCATTATTTATTAATTTCAAAATAACAACAAACATTCCATCTGTGGTACTATGTTGTTTTGTTTAAAAACCCAGTCTCACATAGGTATGCAGTTAGAACAGAGAAAATAATTTTAATAGCTTTTCAGTAAAGCATGGATATTCTTTGATACTACACCAAAACTCGACAAGTGGTAGCTTCTTAAAGGTTAGTTGCCACATGGAATCTGAAACTATTCAGCGAGCTCTTTGAGCTCCGTTACGTTAAAACCCACTGGTTGATCTTGTGCATCAAACAGGCCTTTCATTCATTCATGATTTTGTAACATCCTGGTGGTCATTTGAAAAATATTCGTATACTGAGCTGTCAGATCTTCCTAGTGTTGACATATTTCATCGTACAATGTCAAAAATATCACATTTGCTAATATCACTACCGATCACATCTGAAAAGCATGTAAGTGTTAGGAAGTCAACAAGCTCGCAGTGGTGGATACAAGTTTTCCAAAATTCTAGTTTTAGTTAGGAACCTCAAAGTTTTGTCATTGGCAACAACTACTGTTCGTTGGTGTCCTTGAAGTGACAGACGTACTTCACTCATTTTCAAGAAAATAGCTGCCAAATATTTCAGTTTGAATAGCCATGGTTTGCCTGCCAGTCATTCTTTCAAGCAAAAATGGTGTTTTCGTAAAAAGAACCCCAGCTAATCTTGCTCAGCTCAAACAACCGCGCACGCCCAGTGCTCTCTCTCCAGAGAGCCATCGTATTTGGGCGTGTGCCAGCAGAGCTTCACTGACACCTGCTTCCCCTTTCACCACACAGCACGGTAAAGAGACAGACACCCGCTCGGGGGTCAGCGTTGGAGAAAATATTAGTATTTATTTATAATCCCTTAAATTAAATTGGTACTTCTCTTGAGTAATAAAAAACAAATAAACAGAAGATCTTAGTATTATTAAGAAAGGAGTTTTGACCTTGCAGGTTCCCTGAAGGGGCTTTGGGGACCCCCAGGGAGTTCCCCATCACTATACTTCAAGTACCGCTTCTGCTTCCTCCCCACTCTCCTTCGGGGACGACAGTCACGCGCTTGCTCCGGCTTCTGGTTGAACCCTCGTGCCCCTCGCCCGCCTCTTCTGTGTTTTCGATCCTTTTGTCTCTTTTCCTGATTCTGAATTGTTTCTTCCCACCTATATTCCAGCCCCTACGTCCTGTCTCAAGCGTGTCTGACCTGAAATTAAGCCCATCCGTTGAATGTTTTAGTTGATTTGCATTTTTTGGTTCTAAAACGTCTATTTGATTTCTATATATATGATATATATTCAAATGTAGGGTGTCCCCAAAAATGTATACTCACACTTGGAGTAATTATAAAGGCAGTGTTTATTAACATACACTTCCTTTTCAAAATTGAGCTCTCAGCTGTTAAAGTGTGTGTACATTTTGTTGGGACACCCTATATATATATATATATCATGTCACTTTTCATAGTTCCAAATGTTTAATTATTTTACCTTCTGAATTTTCTGATTACCTTCCACATTTTGCCTTCCAATTTTTCAAACTGATGGAATTATAAATCTACAGGTTTATAGATTATATTTAGAAATATATTTCTATAGCTTGTACCTCCTTGGACGTCGTGAACAGAGCTATTTTACAGTCTGTGGCTCCTTTTTTTGTTTTTGTTTTTACTGTTGTTTCTGTGGGTCTTCACAGCTAACTCTCCTCACACACCCCGTACTGAAAAATTATTTGCAAAAATCATGGGAGGCTTAGGATGATGTTATCTTCCCCCAGAGGTGACTGCCGTTGGCTGTTGCTGTCACCTGAGGACGTTAGAAACTGCGGATGCCTTTAACCCCGTCTAGGGGCAGACACATGCGGGCCCGGCAGGCTCACCCCCCCGTGTGCCCAGTGCTGCCCTGGGAGCTGCAGCATGAAACTCCGAAAACTCACGGGGGGCGGGGGTCTCACCCTCTGCGGGCAGGGGGGCTGCCCAGAGCAGGTGGCGCCTAAAATGAGACCCGAGAGGTGAACGGAGGATCGACTTCTCTCTGATCCACTGTGGCCTAGAAACACTTCTGGGAGACGGGCAATGGGCCTGGGGCTGTTGCACAAGGAAC